GACAGTCTAGGGTTTTTAGAAGCACAGTATCATTGATTATTTATTAGCAGTGAACAATTGTCTGCTGGAACACATATCCCACCAATGACCTCTTCATTCATTTATATGGCTGCCAGATAAATTGTATTTCATGAATGGAGCTGAACTTCTTCATGGGGCTCCATGGGAGGTATCCTTGACTACTCCAATTGCTGAAGGTCCCATTATGACCCACTGCTCAGGCATGGGGGCCGTGGAATCAGAGATCCTCCATTAGCTAAGGGACAAAAATACAGATTCCATCTGTAGTTAGTTACCTGGAAGACAGTTCAAATCAAGTCAAAAATAAGTCTACAAACATTTATTAAGCACCTGTTGTTGATAGGCACTGAGTTAAACGTTGGGAATACCCTCCCCTCAAAAAAAAGGGCAGGGCAAAAACAGTCCCTGCCCTCAATGATCTTATAATCCAGTGGGAGAGACAACATGCAAACAACTGTGTACAAACTAGATACATTCAGGATATATTAGATACAAATAACAAAAATCTTATTGATGCCCTCTGTATACCTACTTAAGATGCTGGTTGCTTGCTTGTTCCCTCTTCAAAACAGAAAGAAGAAACAACCCTCCCCTCCCAGCATCCCCTCTGCCAAATAAGCCAGTACGGTGGCTGTGATGTTTAAGGCTAGCATCTCAGCCAGGGAGCTGGGAGGACAATTGTATTTTTTGGTGTTTAGAGGCCTGAGGACCTTGTGGCTATTGAAATATTAATGAGGAAAGCTAATAATAATAATGATAATAATAATAATAATAATACCTGTAGTAAGGCTTTGCCTCATAGTAAGTCCTATTTGTTTGGAAAGAGGTCTCTTATCAGTGGAGTGGGGATAGGTACGAAGATGTTCTTAAATAGGCTACCGTTGTTCAGGACGCCATGGGCTGTTTTCATCTTTCCTCCTAATCCTGTTCCTTCTTCTTGCTGAAAAAATGTGGCAGATTCACTGAACCTCTCATGATCTTAAACGTGGACAAACAACAACAATCTCCCCTTCCTCCACCCCTTCCAGCTCATATTCAATTAGTTCTAAGGACCTCTTGGTTTGACTTATGTAAAATTTCTCATATGTGTCCCTTCCTTTCTATTCCTACAGTCATTACCCCGGTTTGGACCCTTTGCCAAAACTTCTTGGTCTATTGCAATAACATCAGAATGGGTCTGCTGGTCCCCAATCACTTTCTCTTTTTATCTGCTTTTTATATAATTGGCAGAGCTTCATTATGCATAAAGGAGCCAGAACTTGGTGGGGGGAGGGGGGGAGGGAACACAGATACTCCAAGGTCTTGCCACTTCATTATTTTCTTTAAATTAGAAAACTGAAGCTTTTGGTTTCATCTTGGATCCCAATGCTGAACAAATCAGAAACATAAAGGTAGAGAAGCTGTGATGCTCTGCCCTAGGCTACTGAAATTAAGAAGGTACTAATGCCATTATCCAAATCATTCTTCCTGTCTGCTACCCTCTGCGGATTAAGCCCAGGTAATCTTCTCTCTGCTCCACCATCCCAATCCTACTTTGCTTTTGTCCCTAGTTATAGCTCTGATTTGTTCCTCTTCTGCCTTGCAAATCTTTAGTGCCTCCTTATTACCTTATTAAGTAAAAAAAGGACCTCAAGATCATTTAATCCAATTGTGCCTATCTGGTCATATATCACCTCTATACTCCCACAGTGAGCTATTAGTAGTTTCCTTTGGGTACTTCCAATGAAAGAAAATCATCCCAAGCAACCCAAGAACCCAACATAATTCTCCAGATATAGATTGACTAGGGCATTCAAGGCCCTTCAAAGACTGTTTTCTGTAATCCCTCTTGTAAGTGAAAACTGTCTATTTTGTACTTCATAGAAACTTTTGTTTCCTACCTTTTGAAAATACTTCTTTTACATTGTTGTGCATTATAGTTATGTGTGTATAAGGCACCATGGTCAGAATGGTATACCAGAGAGATTGTTGGGCTCAGAGGAAGGAAGACTTAGGTTTAAATCAGACTGCTGGCAAATGTTATCAATCAGCTCTCTGAGAAAACAGAGGGATGTGTGATGGACTTTTAAGTCTAATCTGCATTTTCTCTTTCTTAAGGCTAGAACATCAATGAAACAGTAAATTAAGACCTGATTGGTAGTTTTGCTGGTTTCTGAGATGTAAATGCTCACACTGAAAATTTAACAATTGGCTCTCTGAATCCTATATGATCTCAATCTAGAACACCATTGGTTTCCTAATCTTTAAAATAAAGGAGTTGTAATGGCCCTTCCAGCTCTAAATCCATAATCTCATAAATATGATATAAATATGATATCATGCATAAATATACTCCTTTCCCTGACTGATAGGATGTATCTCCCTCCCTTAGGTAAAGGCCACAGTCTGAGCTCAAGAGGCAGACAGATTCAGGAGTCTATTTGTTTATGAGGGGGGATGCAAAGCATTCATGAATTACTCAGGTGAAAGTCAGTTTCTATGCATAACTTCTCTGTCTCCCTTCCGTAATTTCTTTAATGATGGTTTATGGGTCTCAGGCATCAGACAGGATGCTGGAAATGACACAGAGGCCGAGTGCCTTATAAAAGGATTAGTTTCCCACAGAACCAATAGCATTGATTGGTGAGTTATGACCCTCATTCTTAAAAGCAATACAATTTAGTTCCCTTGAGTAGTGATTTTTTCCTTAATGGCTGTTAGGCTTCATCCATCTGTTTTGGCATCAGCTACTGACTACGTTCAAGGAAACAAGAAAAACAAAGCCAAAAGGGGAGGGAGAGGGAGAGAGAGAGAGAGAGAGGAAACTGAGCTAAATTGAGTGATCTAAAGGTCCCATCACAATACAGCCACTCAAAGAATGAGATTTTACTTAGCATGATGTCTGTCTGGGCAACTTAGCTCTCCAGAAAAAGCCTAAAACGTCCATGCCAAATGTCTGAAGGGTTTAAATAACACACAGGGAGAGGAAAAAAAATGAGAAATGGACCCCCAAAGATAAAGCAAGCACAAAATATTTATTTTTCAGAGAAGATTGGAATATTAGAGGGACAGTGGAAAAGCAGGGAAATGGAAAATGATTGGGCAGCATGAAAGAAGAGGTCTCAAAGAGGAGAAATCATTCAAAACTGAAGGGAGTCAGAAGATAAGGCTGCCTGACTCAAGGAGAATGGCTAAGGTCCGGGAGGGGAATTGCAGCAGATACTTTGTGGAGGGATTGGATTATATTTTAAATGTTTTCAGTAGCAGAAGTTATTACATTTAAATGATGGGATTTATTCTACAAAAGTCCATTGTGTATCTGTAATAGAACTGAAATTGTCAAATTGATACTCAGTCTCACCCTGGATTGTGGATTGCACACAGGGCATTTCATTTTCTGGGTCTTAATGTATATTGGATACCATCCCCATCACCACGGTGTCACTAACAGCATCATCATCATCATCATCATCATCACTTAACATTCTGATAGTGCTTTCATTTTAGAAATGTAGAAGCTGAAGCCCCATCTGCTAAGTTATCTTAACTTCTTCCCATTTTACTTAGTTCTGCCCTGTGAGGTGACCCAGGAAAAGCAGAATCTTTCTTCCATATGGCTGCCCTTCAAACACTTGCAGATGGTTACTATGTTTCCTCTATATGTGTTACATAATGATAAATATTATTATCATCATTAATATTTTACTTATATTTATTATATCTATAAATATTATTTATAATAAATATAATTATAAAGATCTGGCATATTCATAAATAGTAATTATTATAATCAATATATTTATAAAGATTTAGTACATTTATAAATAGTATTTGTTATAATGAACATATTTCTAAAGATTCAGTATATTTATAAATATTTATTATCAGTGATATATTTATAAATATTTGGTATGTTTATAAATATTATTTATCATTATTATTATAAATAATAATGATAACATAGAGTCAACCAATCAAAGATTTACTAAGAGGCAATATTAATAAGAGGCCTAGTGAACAAAGAAAGCTGGCCTCCACACCAAGAGGTCCTGGGTTCAAGTCTCATCTCTGAAACGTGATGACTCTACAACCCTGGGCAAATCACCTAACTTCTTAGTGGTCTAGGTCAATGGTTCCAAACTTAAATAGAAATAGGTGCCACTAAATGGTACATAAAGATCCCTGCAGGTCTTGTATTGACTTAGAAATCCTCAAGATAGCATTATCTATGTTTTATTGTATTTTTATTCTGTTCATTATTTCCTAATTACATTTGAATCTGTTCAATTGCCCTGGGGTGTATTGTAGGTAGAATGTTTGACATTTCTGTTTTAGGTAATGCTCTAAGACCGACTATAAATTCCAGAGCCGGTATTAGTAGAAGGAAATTTCTCACCTGTGTCAGACTCAGAATTTTTGCAAGGCTATTTCCTTATTCCAATTAAATCGTGGTTTTGCTCCTTTCTTCCTCCCTCCCTCCCTCCCTCCCTTCCTTCCTTCCTTCCTTCCTTCCTTCCTTCCTCCCTCCCTCACTTTCCCTTTTTCCCTTCCTCCCTCTCTCCCTTCCTTCCTTTTTTCCTTCTTTCCTTGATTCCTCCCTCCCTTTCTCTTTCCCTCCTTTCCTTCCTTCCTTCCTTCTTTTCTTCTTTCCTTTTTTTTCCTTTTTATTGATTAATACTTTTTTGTTGCTTTACACTATCCTCACTTCCCAACCCCCCCTTCATTCAAACAAAAAAGTTAAGCAAAACAACCCATCATAGTCAATGGACATCTGATGGTGTATGCATCACTCTATACCCACAGTCCCTCACCTCTCTATTAAGAGGAGAGAAGTGTATCACCAATGTTTCTCTGGAACCTGGGCTCTTCCCATCATTCTGTAATACCAATAAACAATGTTTCCATTGATAACTAACCCTGACTCCATGAAAACTGCCCTTCCCAGCCTGCCTGGCTGCCAGCTCCCTTATGATGTGCTCATAGCCCATTTCATCTTTCAGGCTGACGGTCAAAGCAGTAGCAGTCCTCCTGCCCATCCTGGGGAGTTCCTGGATTTTTGGTGTGCTTGCCGTGAATAACCATGCCATTGTGTTCCAGTACATGTTTGCAGTGTTTAACTCTTTACAAGTAAGTGGGGTTCAGCAGGCAACCAGACTTCTGGTTGTCTCAGGAGACATGATCTGGAGAGTAGTTCTGTCTTTATTGGAGTTAACCTAACCTTTTGTTCCCCTTTATACATGCCAGAAGCCTGTCAGCTATTCAAGATTCCCCTTCTGGTCTCCCTGCCCCCCTCAAGATGGGAGGACAGAACAATTACCGAAGTGCTTAACATTTCCCTAGAGAGACAGCCAGAGAAATAGATATATTGCATACTGCCTCAAATCTAGGGCTTTGGGAAGTGGGTCAGACTACTTCAGGGTCTGATTTTTATCTAGCGAAAAATGAAAATCAGGGAATGGAGAAATAACATGTTTAATACACAGCCACAATTATTACAGGCAGCTCTGCAAGGACAAGGGGCTGGGATAGTTTCAGCTATCCCCGAAAATGATGGTGTGAGGCCTTCCAACTCAACCTTCAGATATTACTGAACTGTATATTCCCCACTGCTTCCCCATGTATGCACTGATCCTGGGTGCCCAGTCACCCCTGGCGCCTTGAAAAATCAATTGAAAGCCCATTTCTATCCTTTTTTCCTTTGCATGCTTTCCATCTCATGACTCAGGATGTCCTGAGTGGTAGTTTCAGAACTCTCTTTTGTGCTGTTAGAAGCAAGTAATGAAAGGGTCCCTTAAAGGGACTGGGTCCCAATACAACATAAATGCACAGAAAAAAAAATATTAAATAGACTAAGACAGAGGTCATGGTTAAAACCAACTATGTCAGTGCTAAATGGTGGTTGTTAATTCTCTTTGAATGACTATACCATACAGTTACTACACACATATTCATGTACGTGTATGTACACACAGACACTCACCCACCTTGTTTTATTCACTTTCTTTAATGCTCCAAGGGACTGGAGGCAGCCACAAGGTAGACACTCCCTCTGAAGCTGTGGATTCCAACCCTCCAATGCCAATTCATCCTCTATGACTCTCATCCATGTTTTCCTTTAGGCACACCACCAGGGTCCAGCAAATATCCTTGGGGAGAGGGGTACCCTGCCTTCTCCTGCCATCCCGATGTTCCCAGTGAAGGATGCAGGCTGCCCAGCAGCTGTCTTTGGTTCTTGTTACATGGCTGACTGGCCCCACTTTTCTTGGATAGAATACATGTTATGCATATAATTTTGTTGTTCTTTAGCTAATTAGTTGTGTCAGACTCTTGGTGATTCCATTTAGGGTTTTCTTGGCAAAGATACTCGAGTTTGTCCTTCTCTAGCTCATGGTACAGATGAGGAACTGAGGCCAACAGGGTTAAGTGATTTGCCCAGGATCACACAGCTAGTAAGTGTCTGAGGCCAGATTTGAACTCAAGTAATCCTGACTCTATCCACTGTTGTGTGTAATGTATCTGGAAATTGTGTCACACTCCTTATTTTTAAAGCACTTTTATGTCTATGATTATTTCAAGCATTTTATTTGTAGCCCCAGGATTGAGTACAGTACCATGTGCAGAGTAGGTGCACAGCTACATTGAGTAGGTGCTCAATAAAGGCTTTTGATTGGTTTGTTAATTGATTATGACTCACCTGAGTTACACAAGTAGTCACTAAGGTGAGTACGTTTGGACACAGGTTATGATCCTTATTTCAGCTATGACAAAACAAATTCAGTGCCACAAAATAAGTTAGTGGATCAAGGATTAGAATGCAGATCTTATTAGTCCTAAGTCCTTGGGTTTTCCTCTGTGCCATGCTGCTTTCCCTGTGTGCTTCCTCCATACACAATTGGGCTGTGTAGCCCAATATCTGGAGGGTTCACAACTGTAATGCAGACCTCTTTGCTAAGTGACCCTAGGGAGTGAAGGTAGAAGGAAAGAAAGTTTATCCAATGACCATTTCCTGCTCTCAGGGCCATGTTCCATTTAGAGAGCTAATTCAAGGGCTCTGAATGTTAAGGAGATATACTGGATTTGCAGTCAAAGGACCTGGATTCAAATCCCACTTCTACCATTTAGAATCTGTGTGACTTTGGACAAGTTATTTTTGTATCTTCAGACTGCAGCTGCTGTATCTGTGTAGCCTATATAAGACCCTGGCATCATTACCCCTTGCCTTCATAGGCAGCCAGGTGGCATAATGGATACAGTGCTGGATTTGAGAGTTAGGAAGAGTTGAGTTCAAATCTTGCCTCAGACACTTAGTAGCTCTGTGACCCTAGGTAAGTCACTTCAGCTGTTTGCCTCCATTTCCTCATCTGTAAAATGAGGATAATAATAGCACCTACCTCTCAGGATTGTTGTGAGGATCAAATGAGATAATGTATGAAAAGTACTTTAATACTACATAAGTGTGATGATGATTTCAATTCCCATTCTCACTGATGAATTTCCAGAAGACAGCCAGGGGTACTCTTGAGCAGTTAATGGGGTTCTTATTTAATGTGGTAAATTTAAGTCCTCATTCCAGTATGTTCTCCTCCAGAGCACTTGCCAGTACTAATATCTCCTCCGTATCATTGATATCATTAGCTAGCAGCATAGTGTGGTTTAGACAATTAACATGAATTAGTTTTTAAAGGGGGATATTTGTTGAGAAGATATAGAAAGAACAGAAGTACAAAACATTCTCCCCCATCAGCTGAGAGCACATTCTCCCCTACACCACCTCTGTATCTGGGGAGTAGGGACTTAATGTTCATTTGACTCTTACAAACGTTCATCCCTTACCCCCAAGTTGTCTTTCAAATGTAGAATGGTAGAAAGACAAAACTCCCATCCTGCTTGAGGACCCTGGCTTCTTGGATACAGGGTCAATCCACTGCTAGACTCATCCTGATGACTCATTTGGGCTGTGTTAGGGGGGCAGCTAGGTGGCTCAGTGGATAGATCACTGGGCCTGGAGTCAGGAAGACCAGCTTTGGACACTTACTAGCTGTGTGACCATGGGCAAGTCATTTAACCCTGTTTGCCTCAATTTCCTCATCTTCGAAACGAGCTGGAGAAGGAAATGGCAAACCACTCCAGTATTCTTGCCAAGAAAACCCCAAATGGGCTCATAAGGAGATAAACATGACTGAAATGACTAGATGACAATGATAGTGGACAAGGCTTGCTTGTCTACAAATCCTAGCAAAGACTATAGCTTACGAATCTGTGATGGCTCACGATAGCTATCTTTCAAAGCTCACAAGGTCTCAGCTTAATCCATTACATTTCCAGTATTCCTTCACCTATGATGGGGAAGAATGGACCCAGAAGGGACAGAAACAGCAGGGCCATGTGCTTATAAGTTTCATGTCAGAAGAAATAGGCATCTGGAAGTAGGATTCTGCTGTGTCAATTGCTACTATCTCTTTCAGCAATAGCAGAATCACGAGCTTTTGGCCTTATGCCTGGTTTGAGTGAGAGAGGGTCTGTGGCTCCTCCCCCAATAGAGAGGCCCATAACATCTTGTTCATCACCAGGGAAGGAAAAAGGATTGCACCTATTTGCCCTCCTCCCACTTTAGAAGTCAGTCAGTCAACAAGCCCCTACTGTGTACCAGGCACTGTGCTAAGCACTGAGGATACAAAAAAAGGCTAGACAGGTGTTCCCAATCTAATGAGAGTCTTTTTTTTTGGTATGCAAAAGTCATATAGTAAGTAGATGGGAAATGGTCATCTAATACTTGCTTATACTCTGAATTGGAGAGCAGCACCCTGTCACTCCAAGTCATCAGGAATGTCCAGACATAAGCTCACCAATTTATATGCTCCCAGGATTGAGTCCTCATTGGCCAGTTCTCTGTGGCATTTGCAAAATAGGGCGATTGGACCAGCTGTCCTCATTGGTCCCTTCTAGCTTGAAATCCATGATCCTATGCCAAGCTTGAGGGATGGAAATTCGAGATTAAACACAGCCTGCTGCCCATAGAAAAACAATTTTGGTCATAGGATCAAAGATTGACTTGGAAATGACCTCAGAGTGCATTTAGTTCAACTCCATCATTTGACAGATGAGGAAACTGAGGTCCAGAGAAAGGAAATGAATTGCCCAGTCTCCCACAGGTAGTAATTGAGAGAACTGGTGTTCAAGCCCACTTCCTCTGACTCAAAATCCCCTTGACTTGTCCCCTGGACCATGAATTGAAGAGGGTTCTATATTTTTAGAGACATTTTGCTGAAATATGTAAATAACTGCTAACTTTGTATTCTCCTCTCCCTTTTTTCCCCCCAGGGATTTTTCATCTTTCTATTTCACTGTCTCCTGAATTCTGAGGTGAGTCTGAGCTTCCCATGGGCAGTAATAAGCTGGTTTTTATTTCAGCACAGAACTCAGAGAAGCTAAAACAATGCCCTATTTGGAGTTGGTCATGGCTTTTTTGTCCCTAGACTTCTGAATCCTCTTTGGTGCCTGAGAAGACCTGGGCTGAAGGATAGTTGGGTTTTTGTCCCTGTTGCTTAGCAATGCCTTCCTGGGATAATTACCTGATCCCTGAACCAAGATCAGGAAAAAGAAGAGAAGTGGAAGGAAATAATCTAGGCTGAAAATTCCCACTGTGGATTCCATACATTCCTATGCATGCAGCTCAATGTCATAGACATTTATTAGGCACCTACCGCATACAGTGCTGTGTTGGGCCTGATACAGAGTTGAAATAACACGTTTCCTTTGCTAAGGGAGCTTATTCTAGTAGAAATCAATGAGGGTAGCTAGAACTGATAATATTACATGATAGATACCTTGGAGAGGAGGGCAAGGAATTGTTCTTTGTGATACCTATGGAAGAAAGTCTTTATTGACCAGGGGATGAGGGAAGGCTTCCTGGAGGAGGTGACATTTGAATTTTATTTTAAAGTGTCTTTAGGAATTCAGCCCATGAAGTGGAGAATTAAGGACTGGTTAAGTAGAGGGAACTGTGGGAGAAAATGCACGGAGGAATGATCAGTTATAGACAGTATTAGGGATTATTTTAGTTAACCCTACTCCCCCTCCACCCCCACCTCATTTTAGAGATGAGAATGCTGAAGCCAGAGAGGTTAAGTCATTTGCTCAATATTACACAGGTAATAAATGGAAAACTGACATTTGATTTAATAAATGTTGGTTGAATGATTGAAAGAGCTTCTTAGAGGACCAGGGAGTGAAGTGATAAGCCTGGCATATAATAGGTGCTTAACAAATGTTTATTGATTGATTGAAGTGACTTGCCCAAAGTCACATAGATAATGTCAGATGGGATGGTTTATAAATGATTTTTTATTATTTATTGTCCCAGTTGTATGGAGGAAGGATCTTAGACTTGAGAGGTTAAGTGACTTACCCAGGGGCATTCAGCTTCAATGTATATCAGAGATAGCATTTGATTCTCTAGGTTTTCTACAATAAACATCTAGCATTTAATCCATTTTATCATGCGTTGTATAATAGTAATAGTAATACTAACAATAATGATAATAATCAACAGTATTTATACAGTATTTTAAGGTCTGCAAAGCTTTTTACAAGTTTTACAAATCTTACTTGATTCTCACAATAATCCTGGGAGGTAGGTGCTATTATTATCCCCATTTTATAGATGGGGAGATAAGGACAAGCAAAGGTTAAGTGATTTGCCCAGGGCCACACAGCTGATGAGAGTCTGAGGTTGGATTTGAACTCAGGTATTTCTCACTCCAAGTCCCACCTTGCTGGTATCATAACCATCTACATGACTCTCCTCTTGCCCCCTCCCTGTCCTTCCCCTTCAGATGGTTAACAAGTCCTTTGAAGTCTGTTGCTTTTCCCGAGCACTGAATGCAGTGCCCGACATACGGCAGGTGGTTAAGAAATAAATGTCTGTTGAATCCAATTGACATGAATTGAATTAGCTTGCCTGGCTTCCGGCAGAAAGCTCTCCAGCTTTAGGCTTGAATCTCTGAGAGAGGCACCCCCTCCTGCTTCCCCAAGAGTCCACATGTTGATCTGCTGTGGAGTGACAGCTCCTAACTCCTAAATAAACTTGTAATGGCATCACATGGGCAGGTTAACAACTGTGTCCCCACATGGAGAACATCAGAGGAGATTTTATTGTTCTTTGAAGGACTGGTTTCCGAGGGCCCATGGACAACATTAACAGCACCTGAATATTTCAGCTCCTTATATAAACTTGAAGAGAAGAATTATCTTTGATAAAAAAATATTCAAGAGGATTCCTCATATAACTCTCTCTGTGTGGTCTTTTGTTTCTTTTTTCTTCTTCTTAAAATGAATAAAGAGAAAAAAAAAAAAACTAGCCACTTTGCCCAGTGCATAAAAAGGTACTTGGTCCCCCAGGGTGGAGGTTTTGGGATGGAATTTCATTTGCAGCTAGAGGGCAAATGTTTTATGGGGAATTTTCTGTTGTTGTTGCTATTAATTGTACTACCCACTGCTAACGTGACCTTTCATAAACAGAAGTGAAAGAGACCTTAGTGGTCATCTCATCACATGAGTTGAATATATGATGCAGCTTTGTGGTATAGTGGATAGAGAGCATTGAACATGAGTCAGGAAGATCTCAGTTCAAATCCCACCTCAGACACTTACTGGTTGTGTGACCCTGGTCATTATCATCTTTATACAGATGACTCTCAGATCTATTAGTTCAGCCTTAACCTCTCTCTGATCATCAGTCTCATGCTCATAACTGCCTATTGGACACATTTAGCTGGAAATCTAAAATATGATTTCTCTCTTAAAGTAGCCCTAAACTCAATGTGTCTAGAATTAAACTCATTTTCTTCCCCCCACCCCCCAAAAAACCTTTCTCTTTCTTCCTAACTTCTCTGTTATTGTCAAGGGTAACACCATCTTCCCTGCCACCCAGGTTGGCCACCTAACTGTAATCCTCAGCTCCTCACTCTTTCTCACATTCCCTCCATCAGTCATAAAGTTCCATTTCTACATTCATGACATCTCACCTCCTTATCTCCTCTGACAATGCCACTGCTCTAGTGAAGGCCCTTATCACTATGTGTGAACTATTACAATAGCTGCTGTTGGGTCTCCCTGCCTCAGAACTCTCCCCATTCCAATCCATCCTCTGTTTACCTGTCAAATTGATCTTAAAATGCAGGTTGGAGTACATCACATTGTCCCCTTCCCCCCCACTCAACAAACTTCAGTGGCTCTATATTACCTTCAGAAGCAAATATAATATTTTCTCTTTGACTTTTAAAGCTCTTCACATCCTGGCCTCTTCCTAGTTTTCCAGGCTTCTCATACCTTACTCACCTCCACAGCCTTTGTAATCCATTGACAGAGGCTTCCTTGCTGGTCCTCCCATGAGACACTGCATCTCACAACTACAAGGAATATTCTCTGGCTGTCCCCCATGCCTTGATCTTTCTCCCTCCTCACCTTTCCCTTACGGCTTCTCTGACTTCCTTCACATCTCAGCTACAATCCTACCTTCTATAAGAGACCTTTCCCAATACCTCTTCATCTTAGTACATTCCTTCTGAGATTACCTCCAATTTATCTTGTGTATGTTTTGTCTAGACATCACTGTTTGCATATTGTCTCTCCAATTAGACTGTGAACTCCTTGAGAACAGAACTGTTCACTGCAGGGGTGTCATGAAGATCCAATAAAATAACCCATGTCAAGCACTTTGCAAACCTCTAAAGCACTATAGAAATGTTGGCTATTGACCTGCCCAAGGCCACATAGGAGGCAAGTGGAAGAGCTGGGATTTTAACTCAGGTCCTGTGCCCTTCAAGTTCAAAAACTGTATCTAAATATTAGTGCAAATAGTTACTTGCTGTGTGATCCTGGGCACGTCATTGAATCTATCTCAGCCTCAATTTCCTCACCTGTAAAATTAGGGCATTGGACTAGATGACCCCTAAGGTCTCTTCTGGTTCTAGGACTTTGATTCTATCATCCTGTTTGCCCACTTCTGGATGATTTTTCCCTCCTAAAATTTAGCACACAGAAATGAACACTATACTATAGAAAGGTAACAAAACAGCCAACTGATCTCAAAGCATGGCACAGAGTTTTAGATCATCCTGGCTGTTTTCTGTCCGTATTTTTTTCTTTTCTGGGGGCAGGTAAAGGGCAAAGGAGAATTCAGGCCAGAAAGAAGTCCTAGGAGAAAATGAGCATGGGTAGAAAAAGCCACAAGGAAGGCTTGTATAACCAGAATTTATAGCTAGAGAGACAAGGTGGTGGAGATCAAAGAGCTTTGGCTTTGCAGTTATTAGAAACCTGGGTTTAAATTCTTCTTCTAGCTCTTACTAGTTAGCATCAAAGGGCAAGTTATTTAATTTCTCTGAGCTTCTGTTTTCTCATTCATAAAATAGGATAATAAGAGCTTCAGTGCTTTTATCTATCACAGGGCTATTGTGAAGTTCAGATGAGAGATAGATGTAACATGCAAGACATTGCCAAGGTATAGAGGAAACAAACAAAAAAACTGGATTGAGTTCAGTTTGTGACTTTGGGCAAGTCCCTTCACTTCTGTGGGCTTCCATTCTTCTATTTTGTAAAACTGAAAATGGAATGTAAACATCACTATTATCATGATCTGGGTTCTTAGCAATGCATCCCTATTTGAGAGGACAAGTTAGCATCAGAATGGAACCCAGACCTTCCAGAAGGAAGCTCAGTAGCCAGTATGGAAGCTGAGTCCCTTAAGAGTCAGCCCAGCTTACCCCAGGTTCACTTTATATTTGGGGGTCATTCAGTCTTGGATGTTTACTTTTCCACATTCTCTATGGTGCTTAATAAATTTTGCCTTGTATTAGGTTTTTCCTATGTATTACATATTATATATATATATAATATATATATATATCTTATCTCTACTACCATATTGTAGGCTCCTTGAAGCCACAAACTATATTATATTTAGCTTTGTACCCCTCATAATACCCACCATAGTGGCAGATACTCAATAAATATTTTCTAAAAGTAATGAATTAATAAAATGCATGAATGAAGAAATGAAGGGTGGAGTAAATGATTGGATTGAATTATTAAATAAATAAATGAATAAATGAATGACTGAATGAATTAAATGATGAATGGATGGATTAATGAAGTTAATAGATGAAGGAATTGTGTGACTTGATGGACTGAATGAATAAATAAATATATAAATAAAGACAGCTTAGAAGTACAGTGGATAGAACCTCGGACTTGGAGTCAAGAAGACCTGCATTCTAATCTGGTATTAGACTCTTGCCAACTGTGTGTCCCTAGGCAAGTTACTTAACCCCTGTCTTCCTCAATTTCCTCATCTGTAATATAGGATATTAATAGCACCTCCATCTCAGGGTTTTTGTGAGGATAAAATAAGGTAATATTTGTAAAGTACTTAGCACAGTGCCTGGCACATAGTAGGTACTTATAATAAATTATTGTTTAAACCAAAATGGGTAAGTGGATGAATGGATAAATGAATGGATGGATGGATTAAGTCAATGAATGGATCATATAAATAAATGAATGAATGCATAAGGATGGAAGAATAAGGTAAGAGACTGAAAAGATTAGCAAGTGGATGGAATGAATAGTGAGTGAATAAATGAAAAAAAGGAATTAATAGATAACTTATTGAATGAATGAATGAAGTAGAAAATGGATGAGTGAAAGAATACTTAATTTATTGTTTGAAGATTTCTACAATGCTTCAAATATCAAATGGGAATATTTTACTTGTCATTTCCAAATATTGAACGCTACTTAACATTTGGTTTTCTGTGACCCCAAGTCCCAGGGATTCCTTGGGACTGGTTAGCATCCCATCTGAGTTTTGCTCTCAAATTACATCCAATTAACTGACATCCTCTCCTCTTCACAGGTGAGAGCTGCCTTTAAGCATAAAACCAAGGTCTGGTCCCTTACCAGCAGTTCTATTCGGAACATCAATGTGAAGCCGTTCAACTCCGACATTGTGAGTCCCACATGACACTCGGGGTGTAATCAGCCCCCCCACCAGTTAGTGCTGGCTCTAAAGTCCAAGGCAATTTCCAAATGAGTGGATACCCCACAGAGGAAGTCCTGTCACAAGATGAGGCAAAGATTCATATATATGGGAGCTTTCTTTGCTCTAGGTAGTTAAAGCTTCTTAGACAATAGATGGAACACTGTTTCTCAAATTGGGGCTGACTTGTGACCGTTGACCCAAGCTTTTCCTGAATGTGAATACTGAGCTGATGCTCATTAACATTCCTCCTCACTTTAGATAGCACTTTGAGGTTTACAAGGGGCAACTAGGAGGAACCATAGTGTTGGTCCTGGAGTCAGGAAGACCTGAGTTCAAATCTGACTTCAGACACTTAGTAGATATGTGACTTAACCCTGCTTGCCTCAGTTTCCTCATCTGTAAAATGAGCTGGAGAAGGAAATGACAAACTACTTCAGTATTTTTGCCAAGAAAGCCCCAAATGGGGTCATGAAGATTCCAATGTGACTGAAATGACTGAACATACAACAACAAGGTTTATAAAGAAAGAAAGACTTTTCCTCCATGATCTCCTTTGACCCTCACTTTAATCCTGTGAGGCAGGTGCTTTTGCTATGTCCATTTTCTAGATAAGGAAACTGAGGGTCAGAAAGAACAAGTGATTTGCTCAGGAGGGAGATGGAATAAACATTTAAATAGCATGAATTGTGTCACAGGCACAGTGCTAAGTACTTTTACAAATATCTCATCTGATCCTCACAACAACCCTGGGACTGGGTACTCCCCCCGCCAAGAAGAAATGTGTTAATGAAAGTTGGGTCCCACTGCTGCCTTAACATGGCTTTCTTGTTATCAAGACCATGTCCATTGAATCCAAATTGACATCATTTATTAAATACCTTGTCAGTTGAAAATTTAATTTTCTGGCTCATGCCTTGGAGGATCAGAGATCAGTGATACCTATACAGAATCACTGAATCTTAGCGTTGGGCAGGCCCAGTTCTCTAACAGATGCAGAATTCCCTCCATAACTTCAAAGATATCATAGAAAGAACACTTGGAATTACATGACTCAGAACCCTGCGTTTGAGTACTATCTCCCCACTGTGGAGGCATTTTCTCTGTTCCTTAGTTTCCTCACTTGTAAAATAGGAGGTGGAGCTGGGTATGTTCTAAGGTCTATTCCACTTCTAACATTTTGTGATTCTTATTCTTGTGTGGCCCTCTACACAAATACCTATGAAGACAAGGAGCTCACTATCCCCCAATCTAGCCCGTTCTGTTGTTGGACAACTCTGACTGTTAAGAAACTCTTCCTTATATTGAACCAAGTTAAAAAAAGTTCAGTGACTTAGAGAAAAGCAGAAATGATATGCTTATCAAATTAATTAATAAGTTACGTGATAGAGTCAAGACCTGAAGATATTTCATTTAGAATATTAGAATGACTCTAATTAGATAAGACTTAAAGATAAATTTAAAACCTTGTATTTCTATTAAGAAATTTACCTTTATAAGTACATGATGGAGGAGGTTTGGCTAAATAGTTTTCATGAGAATGATCTGGAGGTTTTAGTGGACCACAAATTCAGTAGGAGTCATGCAGCAAACATCAAGCTAATGCAATCCCAGACTGCATTAGGAAAGGCATAGTGTCCGGGACTATGGAAGTGATAGTTTTTCTTTAATGTGGCCTGGATGTACATCTAGAATTCACTACTAAATTCAATCAATGTATGTCCACTTGAGGGCTACCAGGATAATGAGAAGACTTGAGGACATGCTATATAAGCGTCTTTTGAAGAAACTGGGCATGAAAATGGCCTAGAGAAAAGGGTAAGGCACATGATAGGCATCTTTAAATTGAAGACCTGTCATGTGTAAGAGTGATTAGCCTTTTCTGCCTGACACAAGAGAAAAGAACCAGGAACAAAAGGAGACGATGCTTGATGTGAAGAAGAAAAAAACAAGCAAATGAAAATTTCCTAACAGAGTTAAGGAAAAGTGAAATGGGCTATTTCAGAAGGCAATGGGTTTTCCTTCATTAGAGTTGTTCGAGGAAAAGCAGGATGACCATTAATTGGGCATGTTGCAAAGGAGATAGATTTTCATTCAGGTAAAGAGTTGCCTATCCACTGAAATTCTGTGAAATCCTCCTTCCTGTAACTTCTCCCCATGGCTCCTGGCTCTGTTCTTTCGTGTCAAGCAGAATAATTCCCTACCCTCTTCCCCCTGATAGCGCTTCAAATGTTTGACAAACATGCTCATGTCACACCCATGTCTTCTCTCCTCATTGGTTTGCAGATGAATGGAACCCGGCCGGGAACAACTCCTACCAAACTCAATACCTGGGACAAGAGCAGCAACTCAGCCAACCGCATCGACTTGTCAGCGGTGTGACCCAGGGTCAGCTTCCCTTCACCCTGAAAAGCCTGCCACATCTTTGGGACTCAGCCCCCACCAGAGCCCCATCCAAATATTTTCACAGATATTGTTAGTATGATCCTTTCTCCTCATCACTGCCTGGGAAATGGAAACTGGCTGTCTTGCTTATTGGATAGCTGGCCATCTCCTTATGTTCACTCTCTTGTGTTTAATGGAGCTCACCCCTTGGTGTAGAATGCAGAGTAACTCTTGCCCTGGGGTACACTGGATAGCTTACTCAGTGATGGGAACAGTAGATAGAAGGAAAGAAAAAAGAACACAACCCCGCCACCTGCCCCTACGCTGCTGCTGTCTGAAACCAGGAGCTGCATGGCTACCATGAACACAGGCCTCCTGAAGGACATGCTTCAGCTTCAGAAAGAAAAGAATGAAGATAAAATACTTCATGTTGAAAGTCTGAAGTCAGTCTTCTGGCTTTTTTCTGCATTCTCTGTTTGCACCTGAGGAAGCCAATCATCCTAGGGGTGAATATGCAGAATACCAAAGACCAAGGCAAAGAAAAGGAAATCCATCTGAATACCACCAGGACTCTGTGCTGAGAAGAGAGAGAGAGGGAGCTCTATTCAGCCTTTCATACTGTACTGGAGGCTCAAGCTCAAGGGAACTAAGACTTTTGTCATGTTATCAAGAAATGCTGGGGTTCACACAAATACACATAGTAGCCATCCACACTTAGGTAGATGATAGGTGTATATGAGCTACAATCTATGTAGGATATCATATGTACATACACGACATCTACACACTCACAGCCATTAACATAAACACAGCATTTACATCAACCTGCTCATATTATCCTCAAATCTGTGCAAAATTAAAGCTTGACTCAGAATTCAGAAGGATGTTACTAGTCTGGATGACAGCCACTTCATTTTCCTGATTGCCTTTCCTTCTTACAACTATCTGTTGACCCCAACATCTGCCTAAAGATTCTGCCTATCAGAACCTTCCAGTTGTAGCTACCTTTATCCATTAGAATGGGGGCTCCTTGAGGGCAGGAATTGTTTCACTTTAGTCTTTGATATCTATCCTTCAGTGCCTGTCTGTTCATTTGACTTACCCCATGGTCACAGGGCTTATGAGTGTTAAGTGTTGTCAGGACAATGACATCCAATTCTAAAATAACCCAGCAGCAAATAACAAAGGAGATGAGATCACAGCAAAATCTGTGGGTAGTCTCCATAACTTCCATTCATAAACACCTTTGGAGGCCTTGGGAATTCTTGTTGGTCTCCACCTGTGTTCTGTGAGGCAAAAGGGACAGAATGGCTTTTGGTCTAGCATTTTCCAATGGTTTCTGCCACTCACTATGCCCCTACATGAGGTTTTACAGTTAAACATATTCTGACATTTCTATTTCCAAAGTGTATTTCCCATAAACCACCACTAGGGGCATCTTTCACCGCTTTTTGAGAACTTTTGGGTGGGGCTATATTAAATTACCATCGTGAGCAGAGCTTTCAGGTCACTCTAAGTTACCATTTAATGTCATAGATGGGTATTGAACTTGGAGTCAGCAGAGCCCTGGGTTCAAATTCTGTTTCTCACACTTACTAGTGTTACGTTCATGGCAAGTCACTTTCCAGAACTTTTGTTTCCTAATTTAGATATGACAATAGAATGGAAATTCCAGCTGAATTCAGCACGTGGTAGAAAGACTTTTGGGCTCGGAGTAAGGGAGACCTGGGTTCAAATCCCACCTCTGAGTCTTACTATTTGTGTGATCCTGGACAAGTCACATGACCCACCCAAGTCTCAGTTTCCTCATCTATAGAATAGGAATAACTATACCTCATATTGCCTGTGAGGATCAAATGAGCGAATGCATGTAGAGTGCTTTGCAAACCTGCTAATCTTAAAGGTCTATTTAAACATCAGCTACCACCATGATCAGTGTCTATGTCTCCCTGTCACTAAATAGTGAATCCATGATAGGTCAAGTCTTTGATACTGTGCTTCCTTTCCATTTGGCCAACAGGACCAGAGAAGGGGGGGGGGCAATGGAGCATGTGATGTGAACATGGCTGCATCTTCTGCTGTGAACGTGAATTGAATGGATGGGCTTTGACTCAATCCTTTTGGAAATGGCAATAATTGTTACAATGATGTCTGTGGGATAGGCCCTTATGGAAGACGAGGGCTTTAACGAATAAGTGTGATCCATTGGGAAGCGTGCAAACCAAATACCAGAGAATCATACTGTGATGACGGAGCTCCAAATGTTTATGAAACGTATGGGCAAGATATTTAAACCTATTTTTGATACTAGAAGATGATTTTTCTTTTCAAACTGTGACCATGGATGGATAGAGATTGGAACCCATTCCCTTTTCCTCTTTGCTGTATGACAAGGCAAGTGATGCTAGGGGTGAAACGAATGAGTCCAGTTCAGTAAGTTATTAACAGTTGCAGACTGTGTTTTTCTTTTTGCGTGCTTGACTCTTTCTTGTTGGTTGTACTGCGTAGGATATAGAGCAGACCCTTCGGCAATATGGCAATAACCTGTTCAATAAACTTGAAGAATGTGTCATTTTGTTAGTGCAGTGGTCTCCCCCCACTGATGCAAATCACAGCCCCACTGTAACTTATCTTTGAGTGTTGCTATGATTTAAAAAAAATATCACCTTGGGGCCAACCTTAAGGGTCAAATACCCCATTGCTTCAATGCATCTCTGTTCTCATCCATATGGACCTTCATCCTTTTAATTAGCAGAATTGGAATCCACCCATGCCTAGCCTTCCTGAACAACTCTTCTCCATCATCTCCAGAAAATCAGCTGACAGTGGGGAGGGTGTGCACTCATATACTAAGGGCTTTCTTCCCTTTGCCATTGTTTGGGTACCAATGGAGTTTCCAGGCTTGTCAGCAGTCATACTCCCCTCTTGCAATCACAACCAAGGAAATGCAATTAGACAAATGTTAGCCTATCATTAAGGGTCAAATTTTGTTTTATCCAGGGAGGGATAGTGTTTGTTTTAATGCAGCTCCCTAATGCATACTCAATAAATGATGAAGATATGATTTATTATACTTTTCAATGGGACAGATGTATTAAAATGAGGAATGAGGTGTTCTCTGTATATGCTGAGACCTCGTTGCCATATCAAGGTGTCTTCCTTTACTTTCCCTCACTCTATGATTCAATGAAATAGATTTTTCTACAGCCTATCCTATGTTTTCCCCCTATGGCTTGAGATTGGAATGGCTTATAAAGAAATGGTGTATCCTCATTATGTGTATGAGTGAAACTAGAAGTTAGAACACTGTATTATGATTTTGGAAGTTGGAGTTTTTGCTTCTTTAGTTTCTGATTAACCAAAAGATAGTAAGGATATGATCTTGCCTTAGCTTGATTCTGTTTCTTTGGTCTAAGACTTATCTCCCATTTTCTCTGAGTCTGGCTGATTTACCCAGAGAGAAACAATCAGTTCAGATTTTCTAAACCTTTCTGTCTTAAGAAATAAAAATAGTGCAACATATTTATGGGCATGTATATTTTGGCTTCTGCTATATTTCATCAGTGAAGCATAATTTGGCCAAAGATGAAATTGAAATCGAAGGAATTGTGACTTTGTAATAGATTACATCACGTAAGTGGTAATAAATGCCAGTAAGGAATAAAATTATGCTTTTTTTTTCCAAATAAAAATAAGTCTTCATTTCCTGTTAGTAATTTGTAATCTTTTTTTTTCCCAGTCAAACTTGAGAACTATAAATCTCTTCAGAAATCATAACACTAGTGACTAAATGACTGAATGAAAGCATTGATTAGGCACCTGACTTGTGTGAGGTAGGCAGCTAGGTGACTCAGTGGATAGAGCACTGGGCCTGGAGAGAGGAAGACCGGAATTCAAATTTGACTTCAAACACAAGCTGTGTGACCTTGGGCAAATCACTTAATCCTGTTAGTCTCCGTTTCCTCATCTGTAAAATGAGCTGAAGAAGGAAATAGTAAACCACTTTAGTATCTCTGCCAAAACAAAACAAAACAAAACAACAAACCCAAGTGGGGTCATGAAGAGTTGGACATAACTGAAAATGACTGAACAATAAAAGGGTCACTCACCGCCCTCTCTGAGCCTGTTTCCTCGTCTGTAAAATGAACTGGAGAAAGAAACAGCAAACCACTCCAGTATCTTTGCCAAGAAAGCCCCATGGACAGTACTGTCACTATGGTTCAGGAGGTCATAAGCAGTTGGACACAACTGAACGATTGAACAACAAAAATGTGTGAGGCACTATTACAAGCTCCAGGGATAGAAATACAGAAGACATCCCCTGCCTTCAAGGAGTTTACTTTCAAACAGGAGAAAGACAATACATACAGAGTGGGAAGATACTGTAGCAACTATGGCATTAGAATCACAGTCAGGATGAACTAGGTTCAAATCCTGTGTCAGCTATCTCATAGTTGTGAGACCCTGACAAAGCCATTATCTTATTTTAACTGCTTCCTAATCTGTAAAATGATGGGGTTGGATTTAATAGACTTTGATGTCCCTTCCAGCTCTAAATCAATGATTCTATAACTGGAAGTGTTAAGCCATTGTGAGTCATAGCACAGTCTATTGTCACCTTCTAATGGGAGTATTGATTTGATTACTGTTTCTAGATAAAGGGATGGAAAATAGGTGGGGTGGTGATGCAGAGAGGATGTATATAGTGGCAGTTGGAAAGACATCTGGGGTAGGAAAGGGAATAAGCATTTATATGGTACTTACTATGTGCTAGGCACTGTGCTAAGCACTTTACGAATATTATCTCATTTGATCCTTACAATAACCCTGTGAGGTAGGTGCTATTATAATTCCCATTTTACAGAAGGGAAAACTGAGGCAGACAGCGATTAAGTGACCTACTTGGGGTTGTAGTGCTCATAAGTGTTCAAGACTGGGTTTGAACTCAGATCTTCTTGGCTCCAGGCCCAATGCTCTGTGTGCTGCACCACCAGCTACCTCCAACCCAGTGAATGTGAAGCATTATCTGGGCTAGGTAATTGAGACTCATGTCCATGTCCACGATCTTTAAAGTTATCTTTACTAAGGGCTGACTGATGAAAGAATTAGGCTTGTTATACCCAAACTCTGAGGCCCTTTGAGAAGTAATGGGGGAAATTTGCAAAGAGGCAGACTTAAGCTTAAGATCATTCAAAAAGTTCCTGTCCATTAACATTATCAAGAGCATGACATAGTGGAAAGAACACTGGTTTTGGAAACAGAGGATCTGGGTTTGAATCCCATTTTTGTCATTTACTACTTGTGTGACCTATGACAAGGTAATCCACTTCTCTGGGCCTCAGTTTCCTCACCTGTAAAACGAGGGGGATTTGACAAGATGACCTCAAAGGTCCTTTCCAGCTCTAAATCCAAGATCGTAAATAGTCATGCATATTATAATTGAATGAAGTAGAATGGGCTGCCTCTGGAGGAAGTGGGTTTCCTCTTCCTGGAAATCTTCAAACCCAAGATGGTTGACCTCTTGCTGATTATATAATAGAAGGGATTCTTTAGACACTGGTTAAACTAGATGACCCCTAAAGTCCCTTCCAACCTTGACATTCTGTGATACTAAAGTTATTACCTCCAAGGTTGTCAGTACTTATGGCCAAATCAAGTGACCTATCCTCATCCTCTTTGTCTCTAAGCAGTACTCAGCACTGTTGACTACCCCCTCTTTCTGGATCCCTTCTCTTACTTAGGTATCTGGGACATTGCTTTTGCATGTTGAAGCAGATTTGGGGTGTATTTAATGTGTTGTAGTTATGTGTTTTTATATATGCATACACCCAATATTATAGATGACATCACAGAATCAGAGAATTTTAATTCAGAAGAAAAAGCAGTGATCATGCTGTCCAAAGGACACCTCCAAAACCACTATAATACATCCAATTTGTGACCCTCCAGCCTCTGCTTAAAGTACCTGGGTGGGGAGCTCACTACTTTCTGAGGCAGGCTGTTCCACTGGGATAGCTCTGTTAGGATGTTTGTCCTGTCATCAAGCTTACCTCTTTACAGTTCCCACAAATCCCTCCTTCTTCTGGCTTCTGATATCAAGCAGGACAAGTCTCCTCCTTCTTCCAGATGGTAACCTTCAAATACAAATTCATATTCTGCCAAGATGACACAAATGTCCTTGCTTTCCCTCTAAGCGTCAGGCAAAATTAAAACATGTTTCTTTCTCTCCTCTCCTCTTCTCCCTTCCCCTCCCTTCTCCTTCCCTCTCCTTTCCTTTCCTTTGGCAATCGGGGTTAAGGGGCTTGCCCAGAGTCACACAGCTAACAAATGTCTGAGGCCAGATTTGAACTCAAGTCCTCCTGACTCCAGGATCAGAGCATATATCTTTTCAAAAGGGAATTCATAAGGACTCTGTCTACCACTCCTCCATTTCCCCTGTTTCCTCTCCTTTCTCCCACTCCTTAAATGTGGATATCCCTAGGGTGTGCAGGTGAATGTTTAATAATCAGCTGTCCAAAAAAGGAGGACACACTTTTACGTTTTGCTCTGCTTCATTAACATTTGCTCCATCACTTTCTTCAGTCTAGAGTAGACAATTAACAAAACAATGTATCAAGCCCTAATTTGTAGCATTTGCTGATTTCTTGGCTCACACTGAAAATGTAACAACAGGCTCTCCCAGCCAGTAGAAGCTGAGTTTAGTCACACTTTTCCCACCTTATACTTGGGAAGTTGATTCTTTTTTTTTTACCCAAATTTAGATTTAAATTTATCTTTACCCAAATTTAGATGTAAATTTATCTTTATTAAATATTATCTTGGTTTGTCTTGTCCAGTACCTCCAGTCCTAAACTCTTCTAAATCCCAGTCTTAAACTTCCAGCAGCCAATAGTATTTATCTCTACCTTAATGTCACATCAGCAGAAAAACTCTTCCTGCCCAGTTTGAACTCACAGATTCAGAGTCAGAGAATCTCCTAATTAGATGGAACTTTAGAGATGGTCTAGTTCTAGTACCATCTCTACCTATATCAGAATCTCCTCTATGACATTGCCAACAAGCAGCATTGTATGGTGCAAAGAGTGCTGACCTTTTGAGTTATGATACCTGAGTTCAAAGACCACCTTGGCCACTTGTGACCTTGAGCAAATCAGTTGGTCTCTCTAGACACATCTCCTCATCTGTAGGACGAGAGGACAGGACTCTAGAACTTTGGTTATTAGCCACCCCCTCCTTTTTTTTTGTTCCTTGGACCCCTTTGGCAGCCCAGTGAAGGCTATGGATCTTTTTCTCCAAATGTTTCTAAATGAAATAAAATAAAATTCACAGGATCACAAACAAAGCCAATTAGACTGAAATACAGTTATGTGTATATATATTAAAAAAAAACCCTGAAGATTCAGACTCCCTGGACTAGATCTTAAATGTTCATCCCATCCCTTCTGAATACTTCTAGTGAAAGGAATTCCATGGCTTTCCAAGGAAGCCCATTCTCCTTTTTGAAAACTCCAATTTTAGGAATTTTTTCCCTCACACTTAGTGTTAAAAAATCTGTCATTTTCACCTACTGCTCCTAGTTCTGTTTTTTTTTTTCAGCAAGCAGGAGAAAAAGGTCATCTCCCAATCCTTCAAATATTTGAAAACAGTTATCATGTCTCTCCTCAGTCTGCCCTTCACCAGGCTAAATGCCTATGATTTTTTCAAATGAGTTTCATGTGACATGACCTTGGAGCACTTTATCATCCTCTGCAGGATCTCTAGGCACGTCCTAGAATGCAACTCCAGAACTACACGCAACACTCCTGTTGTGGTCCATCTAGAAACGAGCAGAGGGGACCTCTCTCATTCTGGACACTTCGTCCCTTCTACTGTGGTCCAAGTTTGCATGGTGTTTTCCTTCTGTGTCTCACTATTACTTCATATTGAGCTAGAAATCAACAAAACCCCTGGATCTGATTTTATTTTTTGCACAGACTGTGTGTCTTGCCACACTTTCCCCACCTAATACTTGTGAAGTTGTTTATTTTTTCCCAAAGTATATTTACTTTTTATTTATCCTTATTAAATTTTATCTTGTTATATTTTAGCTCAGTATCTGGGACTATCAAGATCCTTTTGGAGCCAAATTCTTTCATCAAACATTTGACAAGCGTGCCATCAGCATCTTTAACCAAGTCACTGATAAGTATTTTAAATATCATGGAGATGAGAGAGTGACACATACATAGAGACAGAGAGACCGAGAGACAGAGAGAGGAAGAAAGGGAGAGAGACAGAGAAACAGACAGAGACAGAGGGACAGAGAGAAACAAAGAGAGAGGGAGGGAAAGAGAGAGACAAATATATAGAGAAAGAGACAAAGACAGAGAGAGTGTCAAAGAAAGAGACAGAGAGAGGGAGGAAAGGAGAAAGAGAGAGAGAGAGAGGAAAGACAGAGACAGAGAAAAAGAAAGACGGAGAGTCTAGTAACCCATTAAAAATCAATTAAAATTAATCTGACATGACTTGTTTTTGACGAAGACGTGTTGGCTCTTTGTAATCACAAACTATCCCTTTACTAATGCATTCTAGAATTTTTCCTGGAACCGCAGTCAGATTCACTGGCCTTCAGTAAATGATTCCATTTTCTTCCTTTTGTATTTGAAAATCAGGACACTCTTTGCCTTCTTTTCCATGGCACATTTCCTATTCTCAATAGCCTTCTGAAGACTA